ATAAATGTCTCTGTTTAATTCAAGAGCTCAGAGAAAGCAGCATCACTGCCTCTTCAATATGTAAGACCTACTTGAAACACCTCACTCCCTGTCTCACTTGGAAAGGGACAATTATATTTTATTCTTATAATGGTAAAATAAAATGTAAACAAAGACTTGACAAGTCTGACTTATCACCAAGTGGCAACCTCTCACGTTGAAAAATGAAGCCAATGCAAAGTGCAAAAAAACTGCAGTTCCTTGAGTGTCCACTTGAGGCTGGCTCCAAAAGCCCCCGAAGGTATGTAACACCCCATGTTCAAATTCCTATTTTTACAGCAGAATTTAAACTTCTTTATTGCCTGGTACAAAAACCTATTTCGTTCTCAATAGTTCATGTCTGTACCAGCACACGCCGTATGAGGGTGTGAATATTTGTATAACTCATCCGTTAAGATTTTATGACGGATAAGAGTTATGCTTGACTAGGGGCCTGACTGATATGACTACAAGGAGGCAGGTTGTAGCTGTTCACCAGGAAGCTTAAGGCCTGCCTCAGCTCCACCTTCTTTCCTGTTTCTAGGTTGACATAGAGTTAGGATGAGACATTATTTTCAATACGGCGACCACCATCATTGGGCTTCAAAATTCCCCTAACTATTGGATGATATCATTGAGACAATGTCTATGTTTTAAACAGTCTATGCTTGTCACCCGCCCTTCATGCTCTGTATGCTCATGACTCTGTCCTTCTCCGCTCACGGTGAGGTTAAGAGAAGCAAAGAAACACGGTCTGGAGCGGACAATTTACCTCAGCTACAACCCACTTGCCACATTGAGAAAAGTCGGCCTACCATCGCCTGAAGAACATCAAACATGAAAGGACTCATGTCCCAGCAGGAGAAACTGGTCTGTTTATCTTCAGTGGACTTTTACTGTTACAGTGTCTTTGGTCTGCCTAAAAAATAAATCAGATACTGCATCTGATCCAGAACACTAAGACCAAGAGAATAGATCACATCACCCCAGTTATTAGGTCTTTACACTGGCTCCAATGTGTATCAAAGAACATATCTTAAATAGTTCTGTTGGTCTATAAAGCATTGAATGGTTTTGGGCCAAAATACATTCATGGCATTCTGATAAATAACATAACATCAAGACCACCCAGGTCATCTAGGACCAGTCTGCTCTCTGTCCCCAGAGTCAGAACCAAATATGTAGAATCAGCATTCAGTTTCTATGCTCCGTATATCTGGATCAAACTCCCAGAGAACTGCAGGTCTGCTGAAACTCTTGGTTCTTTTAAATCAAGGTTGAAGACTCATCTGTTTACAGCTGCCTTTTATTAAAGTATCTTCTCTTAATACCTATTTTAACTATGTATCACTAAACTGTAATGTTGACACTTTATCTGAAATCTATCTCATTATATCTTAGCTCCTGTCTTATTATATATTAGCTGTATATGTTGAATTTTGCTGTAATAACTTTTAAATAACCTATTTTTGAGATGTACTATATCAATATATTTTCCTTGTCTTGCCTCAGTACACAGTGGAAAAACAACAACAAGGAAATATCCTTAAATATTTATAAAATAAGATCTTCACATTTATTAAACTAAATGTTGCTCAATCGTAAAAAAGGATTTTAATATAGAAGCTCCTATGATGATGATTTATCCATCCATCCATCCATCCATCCATCAATCCATCTATCCATCCATCCATCATTCATCCATCCATCAAACCATCCATCCATCACCCATCCATCCATCATCCATCCATCCATCCATGCATCATCCATCCATCATCCATCTATCCATCATCCATCATCCATCCATCTATCCATCCATCAATCTATCCATCCATTCATCATCCATCATCCATCCATCTTCCATCATCCATCCATCCATCCATCCATCATCATCATCATCCATCCATCCATCATCCATCCATCTATCCATCTTTGTTTTATACATTTTAGTAAAACTTAAATTGATGCCAACACTTCTCAGAGGAAATACTTTTCTGAGTACCTTGTGGTACATTTTGTCTTCTTCAATAATTCTCAGTGTGAGGTGAATGTAGCAACCTGCTGTGGTTTCATATAGCCGACCCTAAAGGAGACTCTCTATGTAAATTATTCAACCAAACTGAGAGAGTGTCTACGTTGGAATGTCTGCTTCCCAGTTTAGCATTGCAGCTTGTATATAATGCGTAGTTAGTCGCTACATGTACAGGATTGCAGCCTTCACATCATAACGCTCCCCATGAACTCGCCTGTTTTCAGACAGACGAGAGGGAAAGTGAACTACTGTGATAAAGCATGGATCACTGTTCATGCAACTTTTATGAGGGCCTGCAAAGCGATCTTCTACCCATCTCCGACACAATTAAAACTTATATCTCTCAAATTAAAGTCACACTGAAGAAGTGGAGAGAAACTTCCACTGACTATTAAAATGAATATTTCAGGTGAAGAAGCAGAAAATATCATGTTTTGAGTCCATGGTGTGTCCATGGTGTGCGTTACTGTGGTAGCATGAAGTTGTGAACATTCATTTCTATGAACTATGAGTCATTTTATTTACTCCCTTTCTTGTGATTGTCTGTTGAAGAAAGCTTTTTGCTTACTACTGAGTAGAAATGAAAGCCAAATCCAAAGAGAAACACACAAAGTCACCATGCATTTTGTAGATTAAGTGCAATTTGTCCTCGGAGAATTCCTTTTTATAATTTGCCTGCATCTTTGTGTCCTAATTGTCCTCGCTCTGACTCTTGGGTAACCTGTTTATGAATTGTGCAGCGTGGTTTGCCCACTTGGCGCTTGATTACTTAGTCCGATGTGACTGTGCAAGGCATCATTTATTAATGAAGGCTGTGGAAGATCAGTTTCACTGTCCACCAGCGGCTCAACCTTTTCAGCATCTCTTTGTGCCGGAGTGCCTCGACTCAATGGCATAACACAGCTCCCGCTTGCAGAGAAAAGAAATCAAAGATCACATTATCTATGACTGTGCTGTTAATACAGAGACTCTAAGGCCGAGGGACAGAAAATGGATTTTGGGGAACAATGTGTCAGTTCAGAAACATATTTTGAAGGTGAAGCGTCTGAATCTGTAAGTAAAAAATGCTTTAATACGTTGTAAATCTCTGCAGTAATGTCTTTGCTAAAGTGGTTTTCATGCACAAAAGATTACCATCGAGAAATACATATTTTTAAGCTAAAATTCTGGTGCCTTTGATGCATAACAACTCTTGACTTATTCGGGTAAATCTGCTACATCAAACATGTTAGCATGGGTGTTAACTTTATCCCAGAGGCTGAAATGGAGTGCACAAGTAGGACTCATCAATGGGGTGAACATTGCTCCAACAGTGCCAGACAGTATCCAGTTGTGTCCACACACATCATTTGAGCTGCAGGAAATGTGTTCTAAATATACTCCATGGAGGCCAGCTCCCAGCTAATGTACTGTGGGTCAAATAAATCCATATCCATGTGGAAACACTAATATCCCCCAAACACATGAGCATATTTGGAAAGAAATCCCATTGCATCCTGTGTTCGGGGACCAACTTCCAGATGTTGTATTGAATAGTAACATTTTCAGTTATTTTCTGAATTAAATATGATTCAATGCATCAGGTAGCACTTTGGTATGTTTCTTTGGTTAGTGGAGGTGAATACAATTCAGCTTAGGTTGCATTCATTTGCAGCCAAGTGCCTTACATTTCTCTCACGTTCTCTACGTCGTGATGACAAGTCGGCAATATTTTATTAATGTCTCATGAATGGACACGTGGGCTCATAGAGGCGCAGGCACACCCACACGGCAAACACACATACACACTCTCAGGGAGATACAAGCACAATTTATTATCATTGGTACAGTAACTGGGGAAACATTTAGAGGGAAAGAAAGAGGAGCTTTGAATAATGAATGTGAAGAGCCCTGTTACACGGCAGACAAGCCTTTGAAGTGACATAACTTACTTCAGAGCATCACCAGTGTGTAGACACAAAGACAGCGATAAAGGGACGACAAGGAGCTGTGGACAAAGACACAGACGAGAACTTGTTTTAACCAATTACAATTCTTCTGAATACCTGCAGCGCAACATAGCAGAGTTTAAAGGAAAAGTGGCCCCGATCGAGTTTTGTTGCTAAAATCTGAAAAATCAGCTGAAATGGACATTTCATACAAAACACGGAGTCATTGTTGTGTGAATGGTGGTTATAGCTGGTTGAATCGTCTGATAAACTTTATCAAATTGTCCTGGCATTGAGCGAATCAAATAAGCACTTTATAAGGAAATTCCTCTGAGCTCTTTTTTTTATATAAAGAATGTGCTGACATCTCAAAATAAAACCAATTTCATGCCCCTCAAAGCACAAGAGTGAGGCATGACAACTCCGCCTGTGTGTCCAGCTTATGTAATTAATTTGATTTGTATTCACTGAGTGAGCTGTAGCTATGGGACATTGTTTATCACGCTGGAATCTCTCATCACTTGAGTGGAATCGCCTCAGCCAACAACTCTTTTATTTCTATCATGATTTCAATATTATTCTAAAACTCTCTTGAGATCAGATTCACTGATGTTTCCAATAATGGAGCTCGGAGTGCTTTTGAATGAATCCAATTATTAAAATATAAAGATGCACGCTAAGTGTTTCCTCCCTTTCTCCCTCTGAAGCCACAGGACCAAATCCTCAGGCTGGCCGCCCCCATCAGGGACCTGGAGCTCTTCACAGGGACCCCCCAATGGCTGGGACATGGGCACCAATAGAGAGGGGCGTGACTGCTACATCAAGTGAGTGCCCTGTGTTTAAAGAAAACAGAGGGGGAGGCCTTTTCTTCATCCCAGATGTTTCAGACGTTTTGCCAACCTGTGATTATTCCAGCCACGTCACTGCCTCCACACTGTCTCCGTCTGTGCGCTCAGAATACTGATTGTGTGTTCCCTCCGCTGCTGCTGCGCACTCTACCCCTCTCTCTTTCTCTCCCTCTCTCTCTGCTCTCTCTCTCTCTCTCCCTCTCTCTCTGCTCTCTCTCTCTCTCTCACTCTGCTCTCTCTCACACACTCACACACCCACAGCCCTCCTCATGCAGTCTCCCAAATGCAGAAAAGAGCTTTTGGGAGAGTGTGTGTGCGCTGCTGCTGCAGCTGATGAAAGAAATCCACCTGTGTTTTCATGCGTGAGTCTGCGTGAGCCCTCAGAGGATGCGGGCTAATAGTGTTAGCAGCGTAATTGATCCTCTGTAATTGGCACTCCTGGATATCTGTACATGCAGGTAAAAGGAAACTCTCTCTTTATATACTGTTTGTGTGGGCATTTTCTGATGTAACAAGTGATTGTTTGCTTTTCTTTAATTTTCACACTTGAGATGTGTAAATTACAATCTCACTTGATCTGAAAATATTGCTGTGTTTACGAACCCTGTGACCACTAGAGACTGTTTTGTTGGTAGATTTTTTTGCACCTTTCATTTGTTCACACTTATATTCCATCCTATATATATATAATTGGAATTCAATGCCATGCAGTGTGTTTTGCTGTTTTGTGGAGGCATCTCTGTAATGTGAACAATATGTGTATATTTGCACGCAGATAGGAGGTGAACACTTGTCACACACGGGTTATAGCATGAGAAGCGTGATGTCAGAGGAGTTATATAAGAAGTAAGGAGCAGCGAAAGTGTTGGATGCAGAGCGTGCCTGGATGAGGCAGATCACGGAGGCTGTTTTGGCTCGAGCTGCAGCTTTCTAAATTTGACAAAGACTGGTGAACAATCGAACATCCACTCCTCTGACTGTTCACGGACATCTGAGTTGCTCAAGGCTTCAGGGGGCTTTCACTAAATTGTCGTATTTCTCAAAGGAACACATGTCTAGTCAGCGTGACAGGAGCACATGAATAAAGCAAGAGCCATTTAATATTTACAATGTGACACAAGGTTTTAAAAGAGATGTGATGCACTAGAGACTGCAGAGGAGATCTGTATCAATGCAGAGCAGATAGAGCAAGAGTTTCTGTTAAAGACTAAGCACGAGTGGGCGGAATAGCTTTATCTTTACAAAGTCAAGGAAAAAATCACAAAGATATCATTGTAAACTCATCGTTGGGACCATAAGAATGCCAAATAACGTAATCAAATATTTATAGGACTCAAAGAACACAGGCTTGAAAAAAAATCACAAGAGGAGTGACACAGCAAAAAAAAGATGGCAAGACAAACTGGCAGTGATTGCATAATTTTACCAAAACACTAGTTCCTGGAAGAACAAGTAAAACAGCCTCTGTAGTACCAACACATGTGAGCCATGTCAAAGCAGCCTTTTGAAATAAGAGTATCAGGATACTGCTTTTGGGAATGAGCTAACTTCATCCAAATGATGCTTTATAAAAACAGTCAGGCCAGATATTCTTTCCACTCGTTTTGGTTCATCTTGTTAACTGTAGGGCTCTAAGTGCAGCGTCTGATTGGCGTGCAGAGCGTTGTGGAGCTACAGTAGCAGCTAATGAGTATGATTAGGGACCATTAGATGCATGGCTGTCTGCACAATGGGAAAGCAGCCATGTTTAGCAGGTGGCCTTGCAGGGGAGGAGACAGCCCTCTTCCTGAATGCACAGGTCCATATGGTTTGGATTTGTGCACAATCTGTTTGGTCATGTCATTTCAGATATAAAACTAACCCAAACATTCTGAACAGAATGCGTTTCAGAAGTTCACTGTGCAGGTATCGTTGTTATTGGTTGATGTCTAAAGACTGTCAAAATGATTGCATCAAAGTTATATGAAGCAATTCCTTGTTTAAATGTTGGGTTGGTTTGAGAATCATAACTTGACAAGAGTGTGGACAAATCGGTTGACTTTAAAAGGCATTTAAGTAAATTATAGTATATTTCAGAATTTGTGTGCAGATTAAAAAAACAGTGATTATTGCTTTTTCACTCATGCACGCAGGCTTTGCTACTGAAATAATGTTGGTCATGAATAGAAGCGCGTCCTGATTTTTTTTTTTTTTCTGGGGTGACCCATGTAGGGCACCCACTCATGTTGGGAGAGCATGATGTCCATATGTGCACACATTGGAATTGCATTGATTTACATCTGAGGTGCAAATTGGTTTTCAGAAGGGTGGGGGGGGCATATTATGGATACGCCCCTGAACTTGATTTACTTAGAGCTCCTGTCAGGAGTCTTTAGCTGGTTATGAAAAAGACTAAAAATAATATACATGCCTCTTTATGACATACAAACGAAAGCCAAAAAGTATGATCTCTGAATGATGAATTTGGGGCTAGTTTGTGACATTGTAGAGCCAGTGATGACACATGACAAGGTCTGATAATGTAGCCTTAACCTAATTGGGAGCCATTTTCTTTAAATCATTCTTGAGTGTGTTTTTTTTCATATACTGTATGTCGTAAATCAACTAGTGTCAGCCAGTGTCAAGAATCCAGTTTTTTTTTTAATATGCAGCACTTCAGTTTGTTTTTCACACTTTGCTTGATGCTATTATATTACTGTGTAGAAGAAGAGTTGCACACAAATAGTTTGTAATATAAACATTATAGTGAGATCTCACTATAAAGCTTCAATGCATTCCACTTCAACATACTTGTATGCAGCAAACAGACTAGACGCTGTCTTAATCTTTTGATTACACCTTGATCTAAATGTGTTACCAATCTCACTAATGGAATACTCTGGGCGGTTTATTGTTTATGATGGAAACAAAGACGACAGTATCTTAATCACAGATAGATGTAATGTGGTGAATGAATAGTATCAATTACATAAGCTTGTGCAATTGTTTGAATTGAATCAGCAGCACATAATTAAAGAGGCATTTATTGAATTACCATAAAAACAACATCTCCTGCCAGCTGCTGTGCAAACAATATCTGCTGGAGTCAAGACAAAGATATGTTTTACTGGTTATGAAGAAAAGCTGTTCCATTGATACTTTTGCTAGATTTGATGTTCAACATAACTTTAGTCTAAGAGCAAGTTCACTGTTTTTTTTTTTTAAAGAAAGGTCTCTCTTGCTGCCTCCCTCACTGCTCTATGACAGAGAAAAAGAAACGAGTGGGAGGAGGGATAAGAACATTGTCCTAGTAATGGGAGGCACTGGGATTCATGTCTTTTGTCTTTTTTTAAAGAAACCTTCCAAAAGATGGAACTTAGCTTTAAAATCGCATACAATACAAGCCCTGGCTTTAAATCTTCAGCTGGTAGGAGGCAAATCATCATGTTGTGTCTTTAAGAAATGATTAAAGCTCCTTTTACATCAAACTCAGCTTAGATAGAAAGAGAGAGGCAGGGCTTCTATTTTGAAATACAAATATTTAAAAAAATATTAGCCTTATAAAATGTCTTAAATATTTATACTCCAAAGGGTATAAATACCTGTTCTAAATGATCTACTCACTCTCACAGCAGTGTAGTCATCTTTAAGTTGTTAGCTGGTCACAGCTTTTATATTAGATTTGCTAACAAAAAGAGTAAAAATAAAATTGGTTTTGTGGTTTGAAACTGGCCCCTCTTCATACTGTCAAACACTACGTTATTCAATGCTTGTTTAAAATCTCCCTTAGACGGCAGGTTATTTAGAGTTAGAATTAGTCAAACAACTGCATGAAGCCTGATCAACCTTATTAAGTGTTTTTAGTTTCAAGGTTTATGTACATGGGAGAATGTTTCAGCACTGTATTGTACTTCTTTCTCTCTGGCTTTGTTTATTTAACCCTAAATGTTTTGTGCCGGTAAGAAGTTAAAGAATGGTTGAAAATGATTTCAATGGAGGTGCCATGTTGAAAGAAATATGGATTTAGATCATCATTTTTTATATTGACTAACTAAGTTCAAACATAGGATTTAAGTAACAGGCTCTGTTCTGAGTCTGTTCCACACTCGAGCTTCGTGCTGTAGACGTCTGCACCACTCTCCAAACAATGAAGAATTGGCAGGTTGATTTAAAGTCAGTGGTTTCAAACTGGCTGTTTTATTGTCTTTCTTGTTATCCTGTCTTTTACTTTTAAAAGGCTGAGCACTCGATTCCAACATTTAATATCTCCATTTCAAATCTCAGTTCTCTGTTAAGCTCCATGAAATAGCTTAACAAAGAGTGGGTTCACTTCTAGTTCAGCATTGGCATTTGCACAAAAACATAAAAGCCTGAAGTAACCCTATATAATCATTCTGTCCGTCCTGTCATCTTTCATTGCGTCTGTTTAGCAGCTGCATTTAACATCCCGATGACAGATCACATGATTTGTTTTCTTCCTGCTTTTAGCTCTGGGAAAGAATTGTTGAATCCTCCTCCAACATATCAGTTGACTGTCACTAATCTTTAAACATCTTGTTTGTTTTTTTCATAGCATCGGGCTTGCGATTGACAGATCTCACTGTGTCTTTGTGCCACGTAAGATAAATTGTTAGTATTTAGTGTTGAACAGTACATGTGTCAGGAGTAACTGTGAATTACACACTGTCTGCCCACGGCTTTAATTAACCAACATTGTTGGCACCATACGGAGCTGCTGCTGTTGCTTCTGCAGCCAGAGGGAGTGAAGGAACACTGCAGAAACTCTGATCACAGACACTTTGTTTACAGGCTTTCAGCTCAGGAAAACATTTTTAAAAAAGATTGATCAGGGTGGAAATGGTTCACAGCAGAGTCTAGCAGCCAGCTAGATTTCAGGAGTCTAAGTTTTCAGAAAGAAACCTCAAACTTCTAAACTTCAGTCACGAGTGTCTTCAAAGACACACAACTCTCTGCATTCTATCTGTCCACGTGTTTATCAGTGTGGCAGGGTAAACATCTGTTCCGTAACACGACTGTGTGAATGAAAACTGTAACTGCTTCCTGCTAGAGCACACAGGGAATTTCTGTGGTAGTGGTAGAACAATACAAACATTTGAGCTTGATTACCATCGCCCACATGAAGCACTAGTTCCTTATTTCAAAACACTAGTTGGAATCCTGTCTCTAAATATTTTGAGGATTTAGGTAACAACCCAAAACTCTTTACAGAGGAGAAGTTTTAGTTAGTGCTGTCCTTCTTATTAACATTTTTTGTCCAGCTTTCTCCAGACTGCTTCACAGTCTTGGCTTCTAAAACCATCATTCTTTAAATGGTTTTTCAAATTCAGCCAGCACTTAAAACAACTGAGCTGCAACTCACAATTGTTTGTATTATTAATAATTCTGCATGTTATCATCCATCCAGTGTAATAATAAATATAATACATTTGTTTTCTAAAAACTCAAAGTGTATGTGTACTTGTGTAGGCAAATGCTGTGGGTCTGTCTGTAGGGGGCGTCCTAGAACCTGAAATGAGTGAGGAAGAAAAGTTGAAGATAACAAGACGAAAAAAGAGGGAAAAAAGTGTTTATCTTTCACCTAATGTTATTTTATCTAATCTAATTTTCATGCTATTATTCAGTAATACAACAAAAGAATCCAAGAAAACATAACTTCATCAAAAAGGCTCTATTCTCTTTCTCCCTGCTCAACCTGACGCATCACAACACCGCTGCTCGTTACCTGCTCTTTGTGGGGGAGGAGTTCAGACGAGTTATGAGAAGTGAGCGACACTGATAAATATCAGGTTTAAATAAAGAAAAGACAGTTTTCTGTGTAGTGCATGAATACTGTGATTGATGGTGGAATTGGTTGCACCAGCTAAATTCTTGCCTAGGGCACCAAGTGGGTTAGGGCTGGCCCTGTAAATCATTAAATAAATTCCTCTACAAACCCCTCACAAGGCACGGCTGTCTTAGCAGGTCGTGCTCCATGTACTGTATGGAGACAATCATCCTCCAAGCGGGTGGCCTGGGTTCAAGTCTGACCTGTCGCTCCTTTCCTACATGACATTCCTCACTCTCTCTCCTGATTTCCGATGGTACATTTTCAACTTTACGTTACAACGAAAGGCAAAAAGCCCCCCAAAAAATCTTTTCAAAAACCAAATACTTCACAAGTTCCCTGTGCCTTTGATGATGTATGTATTGTCTTAAACAACAACAAAGACTCCAGTAGTGAAATAAATGATATCTTAGATATACTGAAGATTTTGCTTTAATTTGCCTTTAGGTTTGAGGTAATGATCAAAATATTTTCTGTCTATTTTTGGCCAACTTTTCGTTGTTGTACAACTCATCATGTCTTCATCTTCTTGAAATTTCCCAAATAAATAAATAAATAAAAACAAATACCACATTTAAATGCCTTAAACATGCCAGTTTACTGAAAACATAAGCAAAACCGTGGACTCATTTCCATTCGATCTTTCATGTCCATTTTGCCCACAGCCACGTCTCCCAGAGCAGCTCCCTGGAGGAGGTTCGTCTAGACGGGGACAAGTTTGTGCCACCAACACCCCGGAATGTGGAGATGAGACGGGACCCGGTGCTTGGCTTTGGATTCGTGGCAGGCAGTGAGAAACCTGTTGTGGTTCGCTCAGTCACACCAGGTAAAGAGCCCCTCAGCTGTATGCACTGAACTCTAATATCACAGTGACTCATCCGATCCATGGCCATTATCAACACATTCCCCGAAGGAGATGTTATCCTCCTTAAAATGTAGCGAGTAAGAAGACATGAAAACTCACTCAGGCTGCGCTTTACGTCGATGATTCATTGATTTTAACAGCACTCAATGAGTAAGCATTCATTGGAGCCTTAAGCCATTAGACAGGAGTCAAGAAAATCTAAGAAAAATGGTGTCACTGTGCAACATTTGTAGCACTTAACCTGTGTTTGGTGTGCATTTGCAGGGGGTCCATCAGAAGGGAAGCTGATCCCGGGGGACGAGATCATCATGATTAATGATGAGCCAGTCAGCTCAGCTCCCAGGGAGAGGGTCATCGACCTTGTCAGGTATGACAACACACTAAGGTGAGATGACATTTACCTGCTGTTACTCCTCTTGTTTATAATGAAACAAAGGGTTTTTTATTGTCTCACCACATTCAATCAAAGTTGATCTAACTTTGCTTTTTTGACTCAGAAAAGACCAAGGCCTCATTCAATAAGAATTACTTGCAGCTGCTAATAGCTCTAAAATTGCGCCTCAAAACTAAACTTCTAAACTTCTATTTCACAAAGCCTGTAGCGTGAATGATATTCATGCTCCCTGAAGTTGTGCTGCTGCGTGCAGCTTGCTCCTTGCTTTGCGTCTGAATATGGAGAGAAGCTGTCTGCCTCCTTCCCCAGCACAGAGCTCTGCTCTCATTTTGTCCTCATCATGATGATGGGGGGGAGGGAAAACTTGAGGCAGACAGAGGCCAAACTCAAAAAAAGAATATGAGTTTCTCAGTTTGAAACAAAGCTTTCTCCCTGAAAGGGGTGAGCAATACGAAGAAAAACAACAACAATCTTATGCTCATCATGTGTAACGGCTCCAGACCTCTGCACACATGTGGATGAAGTGTCAAGCAGCTGACAGATTTAACCACTGGTTCTATTAATAATCATAATGTAAATGTATCATCTAAAGATTATTTACAGATTCTGTGTATGTCATACAGAGGTAGTATTATTTTCCTGATCACTGGATACTTTTTTAATAAATACTGTACATGGTTACTATGTTACTGTGGCACAGGTACATACTCTCAGACGGTCATTTATTTCACTCTAACAGCGTATGGCTGTTAGTACCAGTGTTTATGAGACACTTTTTGCAAAGAGGCTGATTTGCCTAGAAAGGGGGCAAATGTTTCTCCTGACAGCATCATGGTTCATTTCAATATGTGCAAACATGACTCCACAGTTCATTATGGAGCATTTAACTCTGCGTGTTTGTGAATTAAACACCGTCCTTTTGACTCATTTGTAAGGGTTTAGCGGGCGCAAAAGCTAGGTTATTATAGGTACGGCTTGTGATTGCTGGATTGGACTAATAGAACCATGTCCTATGTGTATAGCCAAACATTTCTGCTGCTTTTGTTTTGTGTCACCACCCACCCCATTTACTGTAATTTAGCTGTATGCTGCTGTTGATGCTTCTCCATGTGTCTCATTAGATTAATATCAGTGACACAGCTGAGTGGCTGGCTGAGATCTGGTCCTCGTGTGACCTGTGCTGCAGTCTGTAAACATTCATTAGTGCAGGGAAAAGTGCCCATGTGGCCTCTTCTTCACAGCTCCCGAGGCCTTGTGATGGATCTCGGCAGGAAATCTCTGCACTATGTTCTTCCTGCTGTGGTCCCACATGAGCATTTTTGGGACGCTTTTTTTTTTTATTCAATTTTACACCAAAAACTAAATCTAAAATTAAAAGTATTTTTTTTTTTTGTGTGTGTTTCTTGCAGGAGCTGCAAAGAGTCCATATTGTTGACTGTTGTTCAGCCATACCCAGTAAGTTTCTCCATCTCGATGAATGAAACAAAGTGCATTCCAATAGGATGCTTGTGTGTCTCTGGAGGGGATTAGTCTGTTGACTCCACGAAAGCAAGTCATTAATCATGCCATATGTTTGTGCTGGCACTGTATCAGTAGTGCCTTAGCTGAGTGTTAAGAGTCCCCACTAACTTGAAGGGAGTTCATGCTGCAGTCCTTCCAAGTCGTCTCATGTCGTAGCGTCAGAGCCTCGCAGGACCTAAGATGAACCTGCCATCAACACTTAGGGTCACAGAGCATCAGATGTGATGAATGCAAACTGCCAGGAGCCTTTATATGCTTACTATAATTTAGCAGAAATTAGAAAGAAAGCAACAAACATACTGCTTCTGGAGCGACAGAAATCTGATCATTCTCTCTACAAAGTGACTGAAATTTAAGTGTCTTACTTCAATGATGCAACATTTGCTATAACTTGAAAATGTAAGGTGTAAACGCATCTGTTGATTGTGTGTTTTAATTCACCTTTTTTCAATGTCAGAGTGTTTCAGTGGACCTGAAAAAAATCACTTCACAAAGAAAATTGAATAAGGGTTTGATTTGTATAAAATAAGGTTGATGTATTCCACAATAGAGGAATAAGATGCAGCCTGTAATTGCCTCTGTTTACCAATGCCTCGATGACACAGCAAAGCAGTGAGGCGTTGCTCCCTCTCATGCCCTTGCACTGAGCCACCTTAATTCTATCAGCACTGAGTGGAGATTTTTTTTTTTTCAGAAAGGGAACATGTCCTTGAAATGTGTGAGGGTGAGAGAAACATAGCGTCACTCTGTCCTGATTGTCCTTTTAATCTTTTTTTTGTCTTCTTTCATTTCAAAAGTCTCCAAAATCAGCATTCATAAGCGCAGCCAAAAAGGCCAAGTTAAAGACGAATCCTGTTAAAGTACGCTTTGCTGAGGAGGTCATCATCAATGGCCAGGTTCCCGTAAGTCACACACTGATTAATTCTGTACACATCAAGGCTACGATCAGAAGACAACAGCAGCAGGCTTAAACTCCTAAAGCTCTAAAATCAAGGAACTCAGAAATCAAGAACTGTAAAATGATGACACACATGAGCACTAAATGCACCTCCCCCTTCTTCTTATTTATTCTCTTACATCATCAGGATGTAAGAGTATGTGAGTATGATTGACAGAAAAAAAAGGGGGCTCTCTCACACAGAGCTACAACAAAGAAGAGGGACTATCTATCAGGCAGTCATATCCTCTGAATACAAAGGGCAGCTTTATAGAGACCATAAAACAAGAAGGTGATAATTGAGGAAGAGCTTTGAGTGTATTTTTTACTTCTATTTTTGAACATTAAAAACTTACAACAGGTCACTAACATGTTTAAATTTGATGAGACTATCTAAACAGTTTCTGTCTCTGTTTAAATCAAAGCTTTAGTCGTGTAGGAGAGCCTCACTTAGCATGTTGAATTGAAGCATATAACCTGTCCACATGTCTCAAGCTTTAAATACGATCCACTCAACAGCATCTTAACGCTCACTCATTTACATGATATGCTGATTGTTTTATTGTGGGGGGAAAAAAAGTGTCAGTATCAAAAATGTGGTTTCACAGGGCGCTTATGTGTCAAATTATTTCCTGGCTGCCTGCAGTAACTGTCTCCTGCTGTCACTGTGGGAAAAAAACAACAACAACCTGTCAAATAGTAGCTAATAGAGGCGCTAGTAGGTGGATTTTGTAACCTGCAGAGCTGGGCTAGCTGTTTTTCCACCTGCTAAATGTCTTCTCCTGTCGCCTTGTTCAATAAAAAACTACAGTGAACTCTCAGTTAGAAAAAGTAATTTTGGTAATGACATGATTTTGTTTCATCCTAAAGGAAACGGTGAAGGACAACTCGCTTCTTTTTATGCCAAATGTGCTGAAGGTGTACCTGGAGAACGGGCAAACTAAATCATTTAAATTTGACAGCAACACATCCATTAAGGTATGTGATTAAAACAACATGCTTCACTATTCAGCTGCACACTTTAAGTAACCAAACATTGCATACATTATAAAGTGGTAATTACTTTCTGACTATGGCCTTCAGTACCTACAGTATGCTTACTATGTACATTTAATACACATTATTTATATATTTTTTAACTCTGCAGTGGAAATTCAGATCATATGTTAAATAGTGTGTGCGTGTGTGGGAAAGGATTTACTGTTATGGCATTGAGCCGGGCACAAGCAGGATGCTGCATGTGCACATTTCTGGTGTTAGATTAACTCTGACTTTGTCTTTTTGGAAGGATGTCATCTTGACCCTGCAAGAAAAGCTATCCATTAAAAGCATCGAGCACTTCTCCCTGATGCTGGAACAAAGAGCGGAGGGATCTGCCAGCAAACTCATGCTCCTACATGAGCAGGAGATGCTAACTCAGGTGAGCCCGTGCTTTTTGCCTTCTACAAGACAGAGGGAAAGGCATTTGAATAATACATGGTAATAAGACAAATAAGACTTGATGGTAGAAACAGAAAAGGGGTACAAACTGTTTTTATCTTCAGGATACATACCGGTGTATTTATAGAACATGAGGAATGTTAAAGCCTAGTTTTACTTTTGGGAAGAGTGCTTATCCACTTTCCTGTCAAGAGTGATAAAATATTGATACACATCAAGAAAATCACTACTGCTTAATTTTACTCTCCAGTTTCTGTATGCTTAGGTCACTAGAGATGAAATATGATAGTTCATCTTACAGAGGCTGGTACCTGGATTGTTTCATACCTTGGAAAAACAGCTATGCTAGCTTTATCTAGTTTCAGGGCTTGATGCAAAATATCTTTCTCCTGGCTTAAAAGGAAAAATACTCTAATTGGCCACAATGTCTATCTATTCCATAACTGTCAAAGAGGTACATCATGACAAGATACCTAAAGTAGCATGTCAAGCTCTGTTCCTGCCCATCTTAAGAAAGAATTCTTGGAAATGGGTGAGGACTAAAAAATGAATTAGTAGAATGCTTGACTGATGTGACCCTCCTTATCTTCAGGTGACACAGAGGCCGGGGTCACACAAGATGAAGTGCTTCTTTCGCATCACTTTTGTCCCAAAGGACCCCGTGGAGCTGCTCAGGAGGGATGCAGTGGCTTTTGAGTACCTTTATGTCCAGGTGGATATCAGGAAATACATAAAATATGCATGCACATTTCTGCTAAAAGTTTTAAGGAAACAGAGTATGAAGACTTTCTCTTTCATAACGACGGTAGCTAACGAGCGCTTTCTGTAAGTGTGAAGTTGTCTTGAGTTTTGTGATGAGAAAAGTAACTCAAGTGTAACCTCCTCCTGTCCTCTCTCTCTCTCTCTCCGGCTCCTCCAGAGCTGTAATGATGTGGTACTGGAGCGATTTGGGTCAGAGCTGAAATACGACACGGCTCTCCATCTGGCCGCCCTGCAAATGTATATTCTAACCATCAATACCAAGCAGTCCCAGAAAGTTTCCCTCAAGTATATTGAGTAAGTAGATTGAATTTCAGGCAGAGCTATGCAGACTGGAATCTAAGTATTGAAGATTTTGTTGCCTCTAATGACTTGGTCCAGCTATAGAGGACACGATGGAGTCTGGAGTAACATCATCAAAAAGCAATGAGTTCACTGTGTTCTACTACAGAATATACATCCCTGCTTGTTAGTTAATGATTCTTGGTGTATCCTGTCAGAAAATCCATGAAGCACCTCTGGGTGAAGGAAATCGATTACCAATCAAGAATGATGACTTGACTGTTTTTCATAGTGATCCAGCCACATTCTCTTATCTTTGTGAATTGTGCCTCTGCAGGAAGGAGTGGGGTCTGGCCTTGTTCCTGCCTCCTGCCGTGTTGTCCAGCATGAAAGAGAAGAACATCAAAAAAGCCCTCACTCACATCCTCAAAACCAACCAGAACCTGGTGCCGCCCGGTAAAAAGGTAGCTGTTTCTTTCTTCTTCTCTTTTCTTCTTCTCTCTGTGTTTGTGTGGCTCTCCATCTCTATGTGCCTGACTCAACATCTGAAAAGACTCTTGACTATCACCTAGTGGACTGTTGCATTTTAAAATAACTGTGGCTGGCTTCTTGAAAAGAAACTGCTGCATCTCAGTTGAAGGTTACTTGAGCTTGTCTCCTGTCTTACGTCTCTTTCTTCTTCATATTACAGCTGACTGCCCTGCAAGCAAAGGTCCATTATCTGAAGTATCTCAGTGATCTGAGGCTGTATGGAGGACGGGTGTTTAAATCAATACTTGTTGTGAGTGAAACCATCTTGCTATCTCACATTTTATAAGTAGAGAGCGACTTGAAAAAATATCACATGCTCATTGTCATGCTGGACTCTCTGCTCCTCTTCACAGCAAGGCGAGAAGCACACAGAGGTGACGTTGCTGGTCGGGCCCAAATATGGCATCAGCCATGTGATTAATACCAAAACAAATCTGGTGGCACTTCTGGCTGATTTCAGTCATGTGAACCGGATTGAAATGTACACAGAAGATGAGAACAGGGTCAGAGTGGAACTACATGTTCTGGACGTAAAGGTTAATAATCATTCCACTTTTTTTTTTAAAAGGAATAACACATGCTGACTGGTTTTATGCATATTTTCTGTATTTTTCTAACAGCAACACGTCTGTTCAGCAGTCATCACAGTCTCATTCTATAGTTCCCAATTTTCTTTGTCCTCATTGTCCTCTTATCTTCCTCTTTCACAGCCCATCACTCTCTTAATGGAGTCCGTTGATGCGATGAATCTGGCCTGTTTGACTGCCGGCTACTACAGATTACTGGTGGACTCTCGGCGTTCCATCTTCAATGTGGCCAAAAACACAGATGGTATGAAGAAGAGTACATCTGAAACACAGGATGACTCATCAGAAAGTGTTTGTGCATTTTTCACATTTCTGCTTCCTCTTTGCAGGCCATGCAGCAAGAATAAAGCAGAACTACCAGGCCATCGAGTGTACATACAGCACACCCCACAAAGGACCCGATGAGCGGAACATCCAGAGGTGTAGCCAAGATTACTCTGACCAAGAGTTTGAATACCTCGACCACGGGAGGTGTGAAAGCCAACCGGTCTATGTAACCGAGATCCACCAGGTCCAGCACTCGATGCACATGGCAGAGAGAGCCGAGTGCTGCAGGGTCCCCTACACCCAGACTTACCTCAATGTCCCAAGGCCCAAACCCCAAGACTCTTCCAGGGGTGCAAAGGTCTCCTTTATATTTGGAGACCCTCCCTTAGACGGTGTAAACCCCCAGAATCTGGGTTACCAGAGACTGATGGATGATAGCCCAGAGATTCTAGACAATCACAGCCCCATGTACAGGCGACTGGAGGAGGACTATAAGATGATGGATGCCATAGAGGAGGGGGACGGGTATAACTACTCTACCAAAATCTTTGGCACCACTGAGTGCATCGAGGAGCCGCTGCTGCACGATATCTGCTACGCCGAGACGACCGATGACGCAGAAGACGAGGATGACATCAGCTGTGAGGAGGACGTGGTGATGAGTGACATTGACAAGCCCATGTTACTCTCACTCTCGGGGTCCAGCGATGACATCATCGACTTGACCTCCCTCCCTCCCCCGCCGGAGGGTAATGACGAGGAGGACAATGACGTGCTGCTGCACTCTCTTAACCTGGCCATCGCTGCTCCTCCTCCCGGCTTCAGGGACAGCTCGGATGAGGAAGAGCAGCAGGGGGCCAGGGCCCGGGCCAAGGGGGCCTGCAATGACATCCCGGTGTCTCTTATAGATTCAGTGCCCACGCACAGAGCAGGGGGCCATGGGGAGCCTCTGAATGATGCGGTGGTGTCCACCTTACAGGCCCTCGAGGCTCTCGCTGCATCGGAGGAACAGAGTCCGGCACAGTCAGAGAGTAGCACAGGTTCTCCTTACACTATTGTAACGTTCATACATTAACACCACACGTGTTCCAGCCATTCATTTTTCATTTGTTGTTCTTTATTTTATTTTTTGCAATAAAGCCCATTATGTTCTATGTTTCCATTTGTTTGAGTATTTCTTCATTCACTTTAGCACATAATCATTTGTTCATTACTGCATCATTCACTTTAATTTCCATTTGTTGTTGTTGTTTTGTGTTTCATTTTGTTTGTTTTCTCATATGCACACTGCACAATGTTAGATCTCTGCTGCAACACATACTCAAGCCATTTATAACATGTTCATTTTAAGTATTTGAGCGTTGTTCCCTATTTTATATTTAAACTTAAATTTTATTTTGGAGTATATTGACTTTTTTTACTGTCAATTTAATAAAACAGTGTTCACTCCTTATTCCTAGGCCAAATGTTGTCATTACCAATAGCTGAGTACAATAGCTTAGTGCCTTTATGTGCCATTAGTCAAGTTATTAATGGAACTAAAATTTGTCATGTACAATATTAAACATAAATGTTGCCATTTGATGAATTGTACCAGACTTTGTTTACAGCTAATTACAATTAATGATTGTTTACTATTGTTCAGTTAATGACTGTTTGTCTCTCTGTGATACACAGGTGTAGAAATCTCACGAGCATTTAGTCCTGACTCCTCAGATTCTGGCAACGAGACAAATTCCTCTGAGATGACAGAGAGCTCGGAGCTGGCCACTGCTCAGAGACACTCAGACAACCACCTGAGGCTGCATGTGGCTATGACAGAAGGATACCATGCCGTAAACGATGACAAGAGAGAGGGCACTGCGGCCGGCGGAGGTGGTGTAGGAGCTATGCAGTACAATCCCCAGGAGCATCAGGAGGAGGAGGCAAAGTCATCCGCTGTTTCCTCCTCTCAGATCTTTCACTCAGACGGCGGGGAAATGGAGCCAGAGACAATGGAAATCAAATCAGTCAGTGAATACTTCACCAAGATGCACATGGACTCAGTAATGAGCAGACAGAGAGGGAAACAGAGGGAGGCAGAGAGCAGAGTCCAAGGAGAAACCTGTGAATCCTCTGACAGGTCTCACACGACGTCTCAGGACTCAGCTAAAGGGGAGCCCCCTCATCTTGTGGGAAAGTATAACGCTTTCACTGTGAGGGATTCCTATTACATGAATCAACTTGATCTGGGGCGAACGCACTTTGACAGGCATCAAAAATGGCAGCAGAGAGCGCCTGGAAACAAAATGGCAGAAAATGTGTCCACAGAATGTGTGCATGACTCACAAGCTGCCAACGCACAAAGGTTGATAGTAAAAGGAGAGAAACAAGACTCGGATGAAAGAGGCCAACAGTTAGATGCACACGCTCGCTCCCCGTCCAGGGGGCCTGCAGAGGGGGATGCTCCCTCCCAAGTGAACGAGCAGCTACAAATTAAGACTCAACCGTCGGAGCAAGACGTCACGCGACTACACGAATACCACTTGAGCAAGCGCATGTCATCGATACAGAGTGAAGGCGTTCATTCTCTCCAAAGTTCACAATGTTCCTCTATAGACGCTGGTTGTAGCACAGGCAGCAGCAGCTGCGTCACTCCCATGGATTCTCCCCTTTGTGCAACAGACAATATGCACGTTCTGTCAGAGTCATCGCTCAAGGGACTGACTTATGGAACTGCTGAAGAGAGGGCGTACGGGCCCCCGGGTCAAGGGAAGCTGGGTCATCCCATAGACCCCACCCTGCTGAGGAAGATTCATGCAGCTACCAGTGCAGAGCCGGGGTTACGCGTGACAGGGGAAGGCATACACAGAATGCCAAAGATAAAAGAAACCACAGGTAAAACTAAACAGTAGGGTGCTCTCTTGTACGTATGTGTGTCTGTGTAAGTACATGACATCATAGAAAGACAATTACTTCAGTCACTTAATGCCAACACAAACATCGAAAACACATTTTCTCAGCGGTGTACAGTCATGCAGAAAGCTTTGTTTTATGCACCCATGTGTCGGAGATTTCTGCATCACTTGTACATCGTGCAGGAGAATAACATTTTCTTCGTAGTCCTCACATCAAAAAAAGCACCAGAGACATCATACAGCTTTATAAAAAGTGCAGACCTCACTTTGATTTTCCAAAGTGTAAAATCTACTGATAAATTTTAACAAAGGGGCCCAATGGGGATTGACTTGCTATTAGAGAAGGCCTCAAGCAACAACTGGAGGAACTACAGATTTTGGCAGTTTTGCAAAGACTTCATCTCTCTGCCCCAGAGGTTGCTGCCTTATCTTACAAAGGATATCTCAGATCTGGAAGAAAATCCAGGGCCAAACAATCTGCATATACTTTTGAGACGAAACATTTGGTACCCCGAGAGGTCCTAAATAAATCTGAGGGCTCGCTAGACGTTTTTGTTTAAAATATTACTTTAACTGGGTAGGAATTCTTTGTTTTTCTTCTTGAAATCATATATAAATGTATTTTAACCTTAATTTAACCAGTAAAATACAATCTATTTTTCAAGAGACCTTGCCAAGACAGCAGCATAAAAGTTTCAGACAGAGCAAAGACAGTCAATACAACATATATTACGTCAAGCAACAAATGGGGAGCATTAAGCAGAGTAACATGTGCATACAGTCGTCAAATGATCCTTTATCCTGGTTTTAAAATCCTCTAAGACAACTAAATGCTCTAGTTTAAGGTGACTCTGCATTTCATACCAAGATGATGGAGCAAACACAAAAAAAGCACTTCCACCAAAGACAGATGGAGTTCATGTAATGACGTAAATGATGAGTCCTTGAGATGGAAGGCTACAGCTGCTGAGAGCTTTAGGAATCAGCAGAGAACATACAAAGGAAGGCAGTTCATGTAGTATGGACCTAAAAGGAAAAAAATGTACAAATGAAGACATACCTGCTCACTGATACCTCACACAAACAATGTGTACGAAAACCCAAACCAGAGACAAATGGCAATGCAGCATGGTACACTCAGTCCAACTTTTCTAGTTAGGATGAGGTAGCATGCACATAAAGAATATCACCATAGTCAATCACTCCTACAAATGTTGCTTGGTTGAGTTTCTTCCCAGCAATAAAAGAAAAACAGCTTTATTTTCTTTAGAAGAAACCCCATTTCACGTTCAGGTTTTTTGTTCATCACTCGATATGTTGACAGAAAGACAGATTTTTTTCAAGTAAAAAACCCAAAGTATTTATTAGTTGGAACACGTTCAGTCACTTTCTGTTTAAAGTATAAGTCTGGTAATCATCTGTAACCATAATATGTATTTCTATTATGTGAATATGTGCTCAAGAGAGATGCTTAACAGTTCTTTTTGTTTCCCTACTACCCCTAGTGTAGCTTGCACACAGCTGAAGAAGGCTGAGGAAGAGTCATCTTTAGCTCTATATGAGACCAGTACCACCACCACCACCATGTCACCATTATCTTTAAGAAGTAGCACAGAGCCTAGCGGGCTAACACAGGCCATCCCAGAGTCTGGCCCACACATTGTGGCTTTCCCCTTAAGCGGATCTTCATGTGACCCTACAACAGGCAGCCTCAGGAAGCCATGCAGGGCTCAGACGCTCAAGAGGAGCTTAAGCACCATATTGCCAGGTTCCAGGAACTTAGAAGCCCTGTTTGAGAAGACAAAAACCTCACTTAAAGGAAAGAGTGGTGGTCAGAGTTGCCAATCTCAAGATCCCCCAAAAGTACAGAGGATGTTCTCGGCCAAAACCTTGCCCAAGAGCTTATCCCAGGGTTCAGTTGCATTGAATTCATCTGGCAGAAGGCTGGTAGGAGGAGCCTTCCTGACGCTCCCAAAGTCTACAGCACCAAGGCTGGAGGCAAGTACTCGGAGGTGTCGTGGACCATTCGGTCACTGCTTCCTGCGGAGAAAGTCAAACACTGAAGGTCACAATGAAGACAGAGAGATGCCCTCACATGCTCTGTTCTCTGTTAGTTCAGTTTCTTCCAGTCGCAGAGAGAAAAGAGGATTGAAAGCTGAGCAGAGTAGTACAGCTACAGCTATGAATGACACAAGTCTTAAAGCAAGGCTGGCTCGTGTCAATTCAATGAAGGGGAAAACCTACAGCCTTCACACAGGGTTTGCACTTGCAAGAAAGGATGCCTTAGATATGGTCACTGTGTTGCGTTCCAGTCTTGGCCACTTTTCCAGAGGTGAGAAGCCTGACATCATCGAGGCCGACATGGATACACACTCCCAGCTGCTTCTAATGCAGAGCAAAGTGCTGGGCAGCGCCTGCACTCAGATGGCTGTGGAGTACAGCAGCCCAGAGGAGTTACTTCTGACTCTGACGCACAGCTTTCACACGCTCTGCTGCTTAACTCAGGCCTGCATGTCGCTGGTAGAAAGCCTGAGCAGCGAGAGGGAGCGGCGTGAGATGGTAGCCAAGGTGGACGAGGTGGTCATGAACTACGTGTGTTTGCTGAAATCTGCTGAGATGGCTTCAGGAGGCTCCCCCGGTGACCAAAATGTGAATGCATTGACACATCACTCTGCCACCATGTCTACTATTCTAAACACACTAACTCACTCGCTGCAAACACTGCTCAAAAAGTAAATGTTTTTGTTCTGATGATTGATTTTAAAGCCATACATAAGAGACATGGGTTTAACAACCAATCTGAACTGCTGTGAAAATAAATAGAAACTTGCCTTGTGTATACAATATTTAATTTTGTAAAGTTAATATAAAATGATATGAATCATTCAAGTTTTAAATAGATTATATTAAGGCCTTCATGGACAAGATCAAATCACTTCTGTCAAGCATATTATCTAATATATCAAAGGGAATATTTTAATGATAAATTGGACTAAGCATCTAGATTATGAAAATCTTGAAAAATCCTTGTTTATATTGTAAAAAAAATGATTTATGTTGAAGGAATGAATACTAAATATATCTATCGATATATATAGATATAGATATATATATACAGCTATTGACAAATCATTGCACAGGATAAGACATGACCCTATATGATCTTTTCATTTGCTGGATTCACTTTAATTTCATGAATACTTTACACATGAACACCGAGTATTTTCCTTTTCTTTTTTTGTCAACATCATTAAAAAATTTAAACTTTTCAAAAACTATTTTCTCAAATATTGTTTGTCTATCTGTGTTTTAATAAACATGTGTGTTGTTAGCCGTTAATTGGGATCCTCTCAAACCAATACCTTGTGTTTTATTGAATTTTTTTTATTCAGTTTAAGAATTCATGATATTACAATTTACTGAAGCCTGGGTGGAAGTAATGATCTCTGCATTACTGATGATGAGGGTCCATTTTGTATTTTACTGTTGCCATCATCTGCCCAGGGACTACAGATGAAAATTAGCTAGTTAGCTAAATCTGGTACAAAATGTCTTTTCTTTTCTGAGACTAATGTTTTTTTGTACACGGTCCCTAATCTCACTTAGGGCACCGGTGAGAGTGTTTGCACCTTGACATGTGTGAGAGGAGCCAAGCACATGCTGCACGGGGTTTATGCTTATCAGAGTCAACAGCCATTCTCTGTGAGGCTGCACTTTTAGCTAAGTGCTAATATTAGCATTAACATGACAATGATAATTTGCCCTATGTTAAGCAGGTAACGTTAAATGTAATTGCCATTTTTGTTTAGCCTGTTAGTATTTTCTTATTAACACCCCCCAAAAAAAAACACAAAGTACAGCTGTTAGCAGTCATGTGCCATTGAACCAAAGTATTTGACAAATCATGCTAAAACCGGATGATGGCAGTAGATGAACAATCAAAGACATAATTACAATTCATCTTGAGGAGGACTTGACTGTGCTACATTGCATTACAAGTTGTTAACATATTTCAGTCTGGGCCATCGTAGCGGAACAACAGGCTGCTTTTACCTTCTATAAAGCTACTTCCCATGTCCTATTTTGTCTTTTTTTTTCATTTAAATAATGCAGATATGGTAAATACTTAATCTAAAACAACAGTGCCAATTTCTGGCTTACGGTTTTCACTGGAAAGACCAACTATTCATACATACTGTCTCGACAGATAATAAGTAAGGATTAATGTTACGTACTTAGTCACAGAGCCAAACATTACCCACAGAACAGAAAAAGATTCTACCTGTTGCCAAAATAGCATGATTGCCATGAAGAGCTGGCACACCTCAAATCATGTACATGTTTCACTTTCCCCTGCAGGCTAATAAGAAATGAAACTGCTCTTTCTATTTCTGGTGACCACTGAATCACCCACAACTCCTCCACCTGTGCTATAATATGACACCTTAAAGAGAAGCAGACTGATGTCATGGATCCTTGTATTCTAAAGCAAACCTCTTCATAGAAACTTAAGCATACACTGTATTAGATTTGCATCGTTATATCACAAAAGCTATCCTTAACTATTATCAACCAGACATTGCAAAGGATGACAGATTTGTATATATGTGGTTTGTGACAATAGGGAAGTGATTCTGGCTAATTATACATAGCCTACAATGGGCTCACCCAGCCATCTGTTACTTTCATCTCAACAACTTGGAACAGATCATCAATGTTACAGTTAGTTCAGCACTTGATGCAACTCCAAAGTCGAAGCAGGACCACTCATCAATCCTTCACATGAACCATGTTCTTCCATCTGGTGAGTGTCAGTGATTTTGTTCATATACCAGTTCCATAAAGGCATCCATTTTAAAGAGGGAACAAAAGTTTTCAGTTATATTTCCAAGTACCGTATTATGTATTTAACATACTAAAAGTGTTTTGATACTGTCTGATGTAGATTGTGACTGTTTTCTTAGAAATGGAAGTGTATAATTAGCATTCTACCTACACACATTTCGGTAACACACATGTGTTTCTGAACAGATTTGTACGGTGCTGCCGGGCCTGTGCAGTTATCTCTCTGTGTCGACAGCTACCATTTCTTATCCAAAAACCCTGCCATGTGATGTCAATGAGACCAACAACGGGAGTGTGGTGAAGGTAGACTGCACTGAGAGAAACCTCAAAGATATCCCCTTCGGCATCCCCAGAGACACTACCAATCTGACGCTCACCATCAATCATATACCTAGATTAAACTCCACCTCTTTTCACGGGCTGGAGAACCTGACTGAGATTGACATGAGGTGCAACTGTGTGCCCATCAAAATTGGTCCCAAGGACCGTGTGTGCACCGAGAGTGTGACAATAGAGGAAGATACTTTCACCAACCTGAGGAATCTTCAAGCCCTGTATCTCGATGGAAATCAGCTCTACAGTATACCTAAAGGCCTGCCACCCAATCTGATCCTGCTGAGTCTGGAAGTCAATCACATTGTTAAGATTTCTAAAGCAAACCTCACAGCGATTAGAAATATCCAGATGCTTTATCTGAGTCAAAACTGCTATTATCGTAATCCGTGTAATGATTCCTATAAAATAGAGGCCGATGCATTTTTACAGCTTAGCAATTTAACATTGCTATGTCTTAAGTCAAATAATTTATCCTTTATCCCACATCAGCTCCCAGCAAGTCTGAAGGAGTTGTATCTCTACAACAATAACATTCCAAAAGTCACTGATGAGGATTTCAAAAACTTAACAAACCTTGAGATTCTAGATATAAGCGGAAACTGTCCTCGGTGTTACAATGCTCCTTTCCCATGCATCCCTTGCCCAAATCACTCACCTCTTAATATCAGCGGGGAAGCTTTTAAAATGTTGACAAAGCTTCAGACACTCAGGCTGCACAGTAACTCCCTGACATTTCTGCTACCAGAGTGGTTTGCCACCACAACAGAGCTGAGAGAGCTTGATCTCTCATCAAACTTTTTAGCAATAGACATAGGAGTCACCAGATTCCCACTTTCTCTGAGCAAACTAGAAGAACTTGACCTTTCATTCAACTATGACCTTCAGAAGTACCCCCAAACACTGAGACTGAGCTGCAGTTTCGCCAACCTCAAATCCCTTCGAGTTCTCAGACTAAAGGGCTTTGTGTTTCAGCAGCTAAAGCCAGAGAGCATTGCTCCTCTAAAACATCTAAAAAACTTGGAGGTTGTGGATCTTGGTACAAACTTTATTAAAATGGCAAACCTTAGTATTCTAATGGAATTAAAAAGCTTTAAAATAATCAGTCTGTCTGACAACAAAATATCTTCCCCCTCTGATGGCCAGGATGCTGTTGGTTTCTCTGAAGGAGAGCCTTTGCAATGGTCTCCCATGCCAGCTTCCGCTCCTTACCAAAGTAAGGAAGTGAGAGAGATCCATTACTTCAGATATGATGAATATGCACGCAGCTGCAAATACAAAGACAAAGAACTCGGGGTTGTCACATCTTTTGTCAAGAAGCAATGCCGTGAGTTTGGCAAAACCCTGGATGTGAGCAGAAACAACATATTCTTCTTGCATTCAAGATTTTTAAATCTTGGGGAGCTGAGATGCCTCAATTTGTCTGGGAATGCGATGAGCCAAAGTCTGAATGGCTCTGAATTCACCTATCTGACTAATTTAAAGTACCTGGACTTCTCGTCAAATCGCCTGGACCTACTCTATTCCACTGCATTTCAAGAGCTGAAAAGTCTGGTCATCTTGGATATCAGTAATAACAACCACTATTTTGAGTCAGAAGGCTTGACTCACATGCTTAATTTCACAAGACATTTGAAATATCTCAAGGTACTGCTGATGAACCACAACAAGATCTCAACTTCCACCAACACAGAAATGGAGAGTCAATCTCTAGAGAGGTTAGAGTTCAGAGATAATCGGTTAGATCTGATGTGGAGAGATGGGGACACCAGATATTGCAATTATTTCAAGAAACTAAGTAATCTAACTGTGCTCGACATATCACATAACAATCTCAATTTCATTCCCGAACAAGTATTCAATGGTTTACCAGACAAACTGTCTGAGCTGTACATCAAAAACAACATATTAAAAGAGTTTGATTGGAAGAAACTACAACTTCTGCATTCTTTGCAAGTACTTGATCTAAGTGGGAACAGTTTAACTAAGGTTCCAGGCATGCTGTCAAACTGTAGCCAATCTCTCCAGAAGCTCATTTTACATAAAAATCATATCGTAGAGCTCAGTCAAGATTTCCTTAAGGATGCATACAACTTGAAATATCTGGATCTTAGTTTCAACAGCATACAGCACATTGACAAATCTAGCTTTCCAGACGATGTAGTTGATCAGATGTCCATGTTGCTGTTGGACAACAACAAATTTCTGTGCACTTGCAATGCCACTTGGTTCATCTCATGGCTCAACAGGACTACAGTGTCCATTCCCAGACTGGCCACAGATGTCACCTGTGACAGTCCAGGGGCACAAAGAGGACATCCTATCATCTCTGTGGACCTGCTGGCCTGCCAGCACCACTACTTGTCAATCATCCTCTACATCCTCATGACTTCCCTTGTCCTCAGCTTCCTCACCTTGTCTGTCTCCAGCCACCTCTTCCTGTGGGACGTTTGGTACATCTACCACTTCTGTAGAGCCAAGCTTAAAGGCTACATGCACCTGTATTCCCAAAGCTCTGTCTATGATGCCTTTGTGATATATGACAAAGAGGATCCTGCAGTGTCAGAGTGGGTGATGAGGGAAATGTGCGTCCACCTGGAGGAGCGCGGAGATCGTTGCCTGACACTATGTCTGGAAGACCGGGATTGGATACCTGGATGTCCCTTAATCGACAACCTTTCCCAGAGCATTCACAAGAGCAAGAGGACCGTCTTCATCCTCACCAGCAGATACATTAAAAGTGGCAACTTCAAGACGGCTTTCTACATGGCCCATCAAAGGCTAATGGATGAAAAGGATGATGTTATCATACTGATCTTCTTAGAGAAACTGCAGTGCAATTCAAAGTACTTGAGATTAAGGAAGAGACTGTACAAGCGGTCTGTCTTGGAGTGGCCAACAAACCCTCAAGCTCAGCCATACTTCTGGTTCACTCTCAGGAGTGTATTGGCAACAGAGAGTCACAAACAATACAACAATCTCTTCAAAGAGACTCTGTGAATCTAGAAATAAATTGTCATGCTGTCATACTACTTCTTCAAATTGTGATTATTCTCAATGTACTTCTCCGAGGCATTTCAATGTGTAAACAGCTCATCAACTAAGTAGAATATTTACAAGTTATTGTGTGCAAACTTTGAATTCCCTAGAGGTTATACCATTTGAGTGTTCTATGAAACTGCTATCAAATAACAAAACAGGGAAGTGAGACTGATGCACTTCCTTACATGCATCTTCTGTGTCAGAACCTTGTTATGAGAAACAGACAGCTCATTGCTTTTTATGGTTGGTTTCAGCGGCCAGGGGCTTTTAGTGAATGCATCTTGTACATGAACGGAGACGATCAGAAATGAAGCATATCTTACTTTAACTTCTGGTGACATGGAACCCTATGTCACTGTTGGTTAATTAAGCTGAGGGATTTTACAGTTCCAGAAATTCAAACATTTTTCAAGGCAATCTTTCAAGGATGTTAAGGAACCAGTACAGTGCATGCACAATGGTGAGTTTCATTGAAACAAGTTCATTTGTACATGTTAAGCTTTGCTTTGTGTATACCGGAGATGTACATGTATATACTTTTTAAAAAACATCTTCATCGCCATGTATTATATATTTACATTTTGTTAGTGTGCTTTTTAAATGAATATAGCTCTTGTATAATCATGAATTGTTTGATGCACTTGTTTTTAGAACCTTACTAGTTAATATTTGAGCTGAATGTGTCATATATTGACTCATTAAGATTTTCTTTTTGCATTTGTGAAAATGAGTTGTTCACTATATACAGCTATTAAATTTCACCCACAACTGTGTGGTACAAAAAAATGCTATCTTTTTATTGATTTAATGTGTATTACCTTCTTATTTAGTGGCAACAGGTACACACACACCCAATGAGCAGCTGTCCCTCTGTTATTCAAATTCATACAAACAAGCACAAGAGGTTCTGACTACATTCTGGTTTCATGTGTCAGGTCGACTATTTCAGGAGAAATGAAAACTTAATTCAAGGATATTTACATTTTCACTTGATGGAAAGTTGAAGCCATATTTCCCTCACTGTAAAAAAAAAGTCTGATAGCTTCATTGTCGAGGTGAAACATTACGGAAATCTATGTGACACTTTTAACAAACTCATGGGGAAAAATATGGGAAACAGAATGTTGCAAAATGAGGGTGGTATACCCTCTTCGGGTTTTTCTGCAACAATCTTAGCTCTGAATGGAATGATCAGAATCATGTTAGGCCATATACATTAAGCATAAACAAGACAAATAAACGTGTCAGGTTTTTGACGATTCCTCTCAGGCATTTCAATCACTTTATGACTCTTCCCTTTTTGTGTAAGTCACTTAGCTATATTTATAAAGCACTTTTTTGAACACGTATTTTATGCTTACAGCATAAAATACAAATACAAGAGGAGACAATCTATAATATTATAATATAAATAGCCTCTAAGTACTGCAACACATGCAATGCACATGCCAAGTAGCTTTTAGCACACACAATCACCACAGAATTATATTTTCTGGTCATAGCAGACATTGTTGAGCAAAACCAAGAGCTCTCAAAACTTGGAAGAACATATTTACAGGCTACTGCCATCTGCTGGATAAAGATGGTACCATACACATTTTAATACTACAAGGGCAACTTCCAGGTTACATGTTTTACAATATTTATAATAAAACCTTTCAGAAAATGGCTGTTGACGAAAAAAACTTAAGGTAGGGTGTGTGGCGAGTCATACCGTGATCGTGAGCAGTTTTTGAGAGTTTACAGAGATATGATGCGCAGGCTGTTACAGGTATTTGAAATAATGCATCACAGTAAGCATTTATCTCCCACTTGCCCTCCTCGTGATTAGTTACAGCCTTTGATACGTGATTCATTAAATTTTTTTTTACAACATTTAGTAATGAACACAGCTTTAGATTTCCCAAGCTAACTCCTGTCACTCACCGGTATACCTGTCCAGTTCTCCCCTGGTTCAAATCACACCACAACTCAATTTCTCTCCTGTGGCTGTTACTTTGCCCTGTTCATGGTCTCTTCAATATCTAACTGCCCCATGTCTGTGCATACAGATAAAGAGTTTGTCTCCTCTTCATTGACAAGACTGACATTAAGAATTAAAAATCTAATTTATTATTAAGTTCCATGTTTCTTATTGTTAAACATTCAGCATGACTCCCCCATGTTACGTCACATTAGGTGTCTGTTTTGATGTGGAATTAAAAGTATGCGCTTTCAAAAAGGATTCCAGAAGTTACAGTAGACAGTAGAGTACTAATTCCTATATTTTTCTGAATATATTTTCCAAACCATTTAGATTCTCTGAGGTCTCCAACCTGCAAGTGTCCCTTTAAAGGACAGGTTCACAATGTGTCAACTCTGTCTTCAAACAACAATTAGGTGGCAATAATTAAGAACAATTTCCTGCTGATATTATGCTTCAGACTTTTATTTTGGAAGATACAATCTGATTCGTCTTCGTCAGTCTAATCTGTTGGAGCCTTATATTAAATGGTTCATTAACCTGTATAATTCCAAGTCACTTCACCTGACCCATGTTATTGTTTATCCACAGACTTTCAAATGTTGGATGCACTTGCTGCTGTTCAGTCTGTGTTTCCACAATGAGCCTGCTGCTTGTAAACCTGCATGGATGACACCGCAGTTCCCATGTGATGTCACACCCTTCTACAATACATCCAGTGTCCTGTTTGACTGTAAAGGGCGCCACCTGGATGGAGTTCCTCACGGGATAACAAGCAATGCGACGGAACTCATCTTATCAGAAAACTACATTAAAAATATTACTGTTGCTTCATTTTCAAATCTGCAGAACCTGACTCGTCTCGATCTAGGCTGGGCAAGCAAAAACAAAGGGCTGATCATCGCTGCGGAGGCTTTCAAAAACCTAACAAAACTACGTTCACTGAGGCTTAGTGGCAATCGCCTGACTGAAATTCCCGGCAACCTCCCTGTTAGTGTGGAAATCCTTGATTTACACAATAACAAGATAATGAGGTTAGATAACAGGAGCTTCGCTGGCTTAACAAACTTGACCAAGTTATGGTTATCCAGAAACTGCTACTTCTGGAATCCTTGTAACAAATCCATCACAGTTGTTGACGGAAGTTTAGCAATTATGACCAAACTTAAGATTCTGGACTTGTCCGATAACAATTTAACTGAAGTTCCAAAAGGATTGCCCAGATCGTTAACCATGTTGAAACTGGGTTCTAACCAAATACAGTACATCTCTGAAGAGGATTTCTTGGGGCTTACAAATGTAAAATCCCTTCACATACAAGGGAACTGTCCAAGATGTCACAATGCTCCATATCCCTGTGTTCCTTGCCAAAACACTTCCATTGCCATCCATCCCAATGCGTTTAATAGTTTAACACAACTTGTGACACTGAACATGGGAGGAAACTCACTGACCTACCTGAATCCCTCCTTGTTTGAGAACTTGAGAGCGCTTAAAGAATTGTTCCTGTCATTTAACTTCTTACTAAACACAATAACCAGAGAGGCAACATTTCTAAAGTCCCTTCATAAGCTGGAAAAAATGGACCTTTCATTTAACTTTGCTTCCAAGTGCTACCCTAAAACCATAAACCTTTCCAAGGAGTTTTCAAATCTGACATCACTTCGGACTTTGCATATGGATGGCTTGGTCTTCCAGGATATCGGGCCGCACACCCTCAGTCCTCTCTACGAGCTGAAGAATCTTTCAGCATTAAACTTAGGGACCAACTTCATTATTCACTCTGGTTCCACAATATTTGAAAAATTCTCCCACCTAAAAATGATTTACCTGGCAGAAAACAGGCTCTATCCAATGCCAGTGAGAAGTCTTTCATCTCCACTTGATGGATACAGTCAGGAGCTGGACCTTTCCATCTCACCGCTCATAACACAACATCCACAAGATCGTGATTACATTTTGAAACACGGCCTTATCAAACAAGAGTGCTTTGACTCTGGAAGAGTGATTATCCTCAGCTCAAATAATCTCTTCTTCATTACTCCACAGCAGTTTGAGCACTACGGAAACATTTCATGTCTCAACCTTTCAGGAAATGGATTTTCGGCCGCACTTAACGGAACAGAGTTCTCCTTGCTGCCTAATCTGACATACCTTGACTTGTCATACAATAAGATTGATCTGGCCTTTGACGATGCCTTTAAAGAACTGGAAAAACTACAAGTACTGGATATTAGTCACAATTCTCACTACTTTACAGCATTTGGTGTTACACACAATCTGAATTTCACTCAAAATCTGCCAGTTCTAAGAGTGCTGAATATGAGTAATAACTTAATCGACAGGTTAACAACAAAACACATGTACAGCAAATCCTTAACAGAACTTCGGTTTGCTCATAACTATCTTGGCAAGATTTGGAAGGTAAACGATGGCTCATACAAGACGCTTTTTACCAATCTTACAAATTTGACTATTTTAGACATATCTTCCAACAGCATTGCAAATATTCCGGATAATGTGTATGAATATTTGCCACGTAACCTCACAAAACTACTCATAAGTCACAACCATCTTACTGACTTCAATTGGGACAAACTTCAGTGTTTCCCTCAACTTGAAACTTTAGACCTGAGCCATAATTATTTAACTAATGTGACAGGTTCTAATGCAAAAGTCACACACACTTTGACTTTACTTGACCTGAGCTATAATCACATTATCGAGTTGGACAACGGATTTCTACAGGTTGCAAAAAGCCTACAGACTCTTAGTCTTAGAAACAACAGACTGACCATCATCAATCAATCCACCTTCTCACTTTGGCCTGAGAGTCAGATTAAGACTTTGCTCTTGCAGAAAAACCCCTTCCAGTGTACCTGTGATTCATTCAATTTCATTATGTGGATTGAAAGCACTGATGTAAAGATTCCTAGCCTGACCACCGCAGTGACCTGTGACACACCAGCAAACCGCAAGGGTCAAGCTCTGATCAACTTTGATATTCAACAGTGTGTGAATGACACAATGGCTTTTTCTATCTACATTCTCACATATTCTTTCGTGATGGCTTTCATGTTTGTCTCAACAGTTGCTCACTTGTTTTACTGGGATGCCTCCTACGTCCTACACTATATGAAAGCTAAGATTAACGGATACAGAACTCTGAACTCACCTGACAGTGCTTATGACGTCTTTGTGACTTACGACACCAGCGATCCACATGTCTCTGAGTGGGTGTTGGGGAACCTGCGAGTGAAACTGGAAGATGAGGGAGAGAAGCATCTTCCTCTGTGTCTGGAGGAAAGGGATTGGCCCCCAGGAGTCCCGCTGGTAGACAACCTCACTCAGAGCATCCGATACAGTCGCAAGACCCTGTTCGTCTTAACAGAGAACTACGTTAAGACCGGGGTTTTTAGACTGGCAATGTATCTGGCCCATCAGCGCCTGCTGGATGAAAATGTAGATGTGATAGTGCTTCTGATGCTGGAGCCTGTCCTGCAGCACTCTCACTTCCTGCGCCTGAGGAGGCGGCTGTGTGGGGAAAGCGTGGTGGAGTGGCCGAGAACACCTGCCGCAGAGCCCTGGTTCTGGCAAAACCTGAGGAGTGTGGTCAGAGTAGACAATCAACTGATGTACAACAAGTCTTATTCAAAGTACTTCACCATCACCTGAGGCCAGGACAAACATCAACTGTTTGAATGATTCAAAACATTTTTTGTGGAAAATTCAATCGTTTTAAACTGTTTTGAACTCAACTTTTATCAAAATTGTTTCATAATAGTTGCTGATTCAGACACAGTTGTAATAAATGTCTTGTTTTCTGTGTTCAAATTTTACAGAATATAAATAAATCAGTCAATTTTAATCTAACGAGATTTTGCTGTGTATTATTTTAGTCTGCTATTTCATTACGACTAACTTTTCTTTGTTTGTAAAAAAGTACAAAACACCTGAGGTCCAAATTTCACCTGCCAAAAGGGCAATTTAGGGACAAACTACACTTCTTCCCTGTTAAAACAAGATTTTAGAGTTTTTTGTGGTCCAAATGAAATTATTAGTTTTTTTAAAAAGTCTGTTAACATCCCACTAACCCACTGGTCCGTACCGAGCTACTCCTGTAACTCCATTCTTCGTTTCTCCATTTCAAAACATCCGGGTTATTGCTTTGTTTGCCCACGTGAGGTCGCACCTTACACAGTCTCAATAGTTCATGAATGATTCAGTTTAATCATTTTCTCACTCCTCCAGCATTGTGTCCACTGTGTCACACGAACCAACACCTGGAGCTGCCTTATAATGATTCTCTTTTACTGTGAAGACAAGAGGAGAAAAGGGGATTTCACTCACCTAATTTGTTGCAAGTGTTCGCATTAAATTATTTTTAAACCTAAAATAAATTAATAAAAATAAATGCACAAATCTATTAACTGAATATACAGCTTCTCATATTTAAAGTACTGTTATTTCAACTTGAAGTAGAAATATATATATTTTGTGATAGCAGGCTTCTGAGACGTGTCGTGACGTCAGGGGTTTATTAGCATACTGCGCAGTATATAAAGTGAGACAGACGCATGAGACGTCACTCTGCCCCTGTCCCAGCGAGACGTGCGACCTGTGATTTCTCTGAATCAAACTCTGGTGAGTGTTACAATGTTTGTCGAACAAAATGTGAACAAATGGGTGCCTGCATTTACCGTAGCCTTGTTGTTCAATGATTTAGTTGGCGTTTGTGAGTTTTGTAACGTTTAGTCTAAGTGTCCGGCTTCAACATCAAACTATGTCCGCTGACCACGATGTTAAAAAAGCCTCTGGAATGGAATCATAAAATACCGAAAGTCAGACCCAGTTTAAGAAATGTTACGTTTTTAAAATGTATCTAAATGTGCCTGTCGGTTACTGAAAGCTTGTTACAGGGTTGACTATCAAACTGCATCAGTTTATTGGCTTTATATTTGGTTAAAAACGCAAATAACGTTCAGTATGTCAGCTCTGCCTTCTAAATGGCAGGTTGCGTTGTACAGGTGGGTGTTGACACCTCGTTAAGGGCAGTTTGCTGATCTCGATTGCTTAAAAGGGCGGTGGTTCCAAATTGACACAAAGCTTCTATCAAGTCAGGCTGAGAAACTTGAAATCAGGCGTTTTTGCATCGAATGTAATCATTGCTATCACTACTTTATTTTGTAATTTTTGTATGCACAGTCTATGTATCTAATGCCTCACCCTGATCTTGTAATTCTGACACTAATTGGCTATCTACATGCTCAGGTGTTTTCTGATTGGACTTGAATGAGGTTTGTATGAAGTCTCTGGATTTTGTTGTTTTAGAGCCTCTGCAGACATGTCTGACAAACCTGACCTCACGGAAGTCGCGTCATTTGACAAGACCAAGCTGAAGAAGACAGAGACTGAGGAGAAGAACACATTGCCGACTAAAGAGAGTATGTAATGCACTTAATGACCCTATCCTTAACATTTAGTTGTGAATAACCTTTAAGACTAATGATTCAAACTTGTTTTCTTTGCAGTCATGGAGCAGGAGAAGGCAGCAGCTTGTCAAACTACATCATGAACACTGCTCCTCCTATATCTATACATTCCACAAGCCTTGCATTTTTTTTTTTCAACCACCAAGTATGCAAGTTGAAGTTTTTAATAATTGACTAAACAATGGTTCCAAACAGCTCTCCCTTGTGTATTACGATGTGTGGCTTGATGTCGGCATTGGGTTCCTGGTCATCTGTTTGAACTGGGTGTGTCATGATACAACTGGGGGACCAACACTTTGTGATTTGTAGCCCTGCTTTTGCTGTTTGTGAATTCCAACAAAGCAACTGGTCTTTCTGTAAAAAAATAAATACATCTGGAATGTGCAAATTTGTTAAATATGCAAAATAAAAAATGAAATTCACCTGTGTCTTTGTGATTTAATACTTGTGCTCAGCCCACTTTGTTCCTAATTGGCTTTTAACCTCACAACCATGGTAGTTCTCTGGTGGCAAGACATCTGTCTTTGCTGCTGTCAAGTGATTTAAGTGCTTGACAATCTGTGCAGCTGAAGCTTTTAACCTCTTCCTCCATCTTTAAAAGAGGCACCCAGCAGGAGGGCAATAGTTAAATCTTAGGAAAACTACTGTGTTCTAGAATCTCATACACATGTGGACTTGACTGCTTGTGCACTTCTAGGTAAAACTACATTCTTGGGTTTCTCATGAAATAATTAATCAGCTTTTCAGAAGTGAAGCCTTAAGCAATTCTGACAAACCAAAATGCATACTTAACAACCTGTCCCCTTAGCTGTGTCTAAACCTGGTTCAATGCCTTAGTGCTTGACAAAACTGAAATACTATACCTCCAAAGGAAAAATCATTGTTTGCATGATTAATTGAAAATGGGGGAAAGTAAATGTTTAACTGATGTAAGCCTTTTAGTTGTTTGCTCCTGTATGTTTCTCCCTGCAGCTGCACCAAGCAAGAGCACAGCCTCAGTCCACTCCGCCTACAGCTGCTTCCTACCGTGAAACTGCTAACAGGCAGTTTATTGAGAATACTCGTGCATGAAAGGATGGGTAACCACATGTCAAAGTGGCCTGAGGCTGGATTAGCACTTAAAAATCAACTTCTCGATGTGGTTAGATTGTTATTAGCAGTTGTCAGAGTTCTAACACATGACTTGAGTTATAAAACCTAACTGCATGTGATTTGTTTCTGCTGTCAACCGGGTGTCCCCTAATGCCCTGTGCTGTAATCACAAGTTACTTGTACACAGTGAACAGACCGTATCTGAACGAGCTTGGGGGGCTGATGGTTAAAAGCTGACGTCATACGTTCCAATGTACATAAAACCAGATGGGCGCACCACAGCTTTAGCTGCTAAAAACTAGAGCTATTGTTTGCACAAGGGGCTTTCTAAAGAGCCTTCTGCAGTGAGCTTTCAAGGGACTAAATGCAGACTGATCCTTACTGTCTGTGAAATAAAGAATCTATCTTTGTGAACTCATAGGATGTGTAAACCACAGATGGCACACTATTTCAAGGCTGTAACCAGGAAAAAAACAATTCTATTGAATGAAGGAAAAAAGAGAACCTGTTCTACCTCAGTCTGCTGCACAGGGACAACAGCTGTATCTCATGTGGGGAGAGAGAGAGAGAGATTATATAACTGCAATGTGGCTGTAGATCATAACAGATGTGCTGTAATAATAACAATAGGCTCTGCTGAGGGATTGGCACTCATTCACATCCATCGTCTTTCCCATGAGGTCGCATTTAATCTAGTCATATTTAGTATGGGAAAAAAGGGACATTTATTGACTTTCTTTTTGCTATTTTAGAAGCAACAAAAGGCCACAAATTATCCACATATCTGTTATGACAGCCCCACCCCCCCTTTCTTATCCACGCACTCACTCCCATCATTCTTGTGTGCAGCCTGGCCACACAAGAGCTCCTCAGTGTCTAATAACAATGTGCTACTTTGGGAAAACACAAGCCAATACTACACATTACAACAATGCTATCTCCTATTACTCTCGTGCCTCAAGCCTGGCAAAACTGATGATTGAGATATATGGACTCGGGACACATTTGTCCCCACAACGTTAAAACTCAAAAGCAGCCCACGGATTCAGCATTTTTCTACACTTCAATGGAAGACCTGTTGATAATAATGTTTTCACTGGGACCTGATGAATGTCCATGAAAAGGCATGCAAATGACACTGAGATGACACTAAGGGCTGATTGTGATCAACTTGGCTCCAGGCACCAAAAGGCCATCTGCCAGTGTTGTGACGGGCACCCTGTGTGGCTCAGACTGACTGCAGCACCCGCTACCAAGAACACAGAAGCCTGTGAGACGGCCTACATACGTAACATGCTCTGAGAATGAAACCATACTGGGAACACTGCTCCTTAATGTGCGGCCTATACTGTAAATATACAACAACAAAGTACTGTCATTTTTAATCCTTGTGATTTGATCTATGTTGTGATATGGTGCAGTGGTCGTATGACTCATGTTTTGGTCAGACTTAAAGCTATGTTAGGTTTGATGTTAAGAATGGTGCCGCTCATTTACAAGTTTTGTACCGTGAAGTATGGAAAGTGTCAACATTTTAAAGTGATGTACAAAATGCACTGAAACCACCTCATATTTGCTGCATATTAATGTAATGTTAAGCCCTGATGTTTTCTGGTTTACAGGAAGTTCTTTGGGGGGTGGACTAAAAAATCTTGTTACAACAGGTTTTACATTTTACATGCAAGAGGAAGTGACAGGATCTCACAGCTGCACGCAGCAACATGGCTGAAACTCATCTCGGTGCCTCTACCCCTTCCTCATGATAAAAAATGAATTCAGCTCCATCTTTCTTGTGGTCTGTTTCCATGGCAGCAGACAGGAGATTTCCACATATTTTCACATGATCAGAGAGTGTGCTATGTTGTTCGGAGCCCTACATCCTTTCATTTGCTTTTTGATATCCAACAAAGAGCTGGTGGCCAGAATCACAAAATTTGTGCAAAGAAAACAGATTTCAGAAATTAACACAAGCCTTCTCCTTTGAAACAGTCCAAGGGGCTTTGCTGTACGTATGTTTTTGTTATTATTGCTCACATGATCATTAAGGTTCCTCCACAAAGGCATCTTGTGGAAAAAAACATCCTGTTAGTTTATCCCTTTACAAGATGTTAAAATAACTCCTTGTGGTAATTGAAAGGCGCTTTCTTTAGGGTGGGATTCTGTAGTAGAAAAACTGTTTTTTGAATATGAAAATAAAAGGTTGTATGCTAAGCTGCTAGCTGAAGTAACACAAGAGAACCTCAGCTTCCTGGTGAACTATATTATTGTTGGGGTTTGGTTGAATCTTTCAGGACACATTGCTTAAATAGTCTACCTGTCCAAACATGCGCTCATGTGTAGGCACGGCAAGAGAATGTATGCTTCTTTATTGTTTTGTATGGGAAAGGAGAAGACAGTTGAGGACTTTATTTTATTTTGTAGCTTACTACTTCTTCTTTTAGCGTACTACTTCTTCTCATATCCTGCACTTTTGTTCTTAGTTCTGCTTGTTTCACTTGTATTTCTTTATTTCCTATGTTGTGTTTGAGAGCAACTGTAACCACCACATTTTTTTGTCAACATTGACCAAAGACTGAAGGACACTCCTGAAATATAACACAAGATATGATGAAATACTCATAGTGTTTATTAAAGAGTGAATTTAAAACTTATAATAGGACTAAACGGGTGAATCTAATGTTAGCTGGTTTGTATCTGGCATAGAAGAACAGAGCAAAGGAGAAAATAAACACAAATATTCATTGATACATAAGGAAGAGGAAGGTTTTTGGTACTTTTTATATTGTACCAAACACCAACTGTTTGCCTTTTTTACAGAGCAAAGAAATAATATTCAAGATTAAATATGATATCTCTGTGTGAGGGTTACAAAAAGAAAGCTGAAGCTACAACAAAAATGCGTATTCATCCATATGGGGAGGTTCAGCGTCTTTCTGCTCTTAATTCAGAGAGTGCACCAAGGAAAGGACAATTCATCTTTGTTTGCATTATCATACCCATGGTGGGAAAAAGCAGTGCAGCTATTGTGTGATAGGTACTAGACAACAAAAGCTGAGGGTGTGAGCTGGCCAATCCAGCGACGCACCATGATGGTTGCTATGTGTGACAAAGAAACCCCCCCAGGGGAAAAAAAGCCCAGAGTTTTGTCTCAGAGGGGCGATGTATACATCTATCTGCCTCACAAGCAGATAAACTAACAGCAGAGGTACACACATATTTACCTCTGTGAAGACTTTAATAGGAATATGTGAAAAAGCTAAGCAGCTATCTTAAATCTGAAGCTGCTATTTGAGACCTCAACACCGCAGATAATACAAAGGCAGCGTACATAACGAGACTGAGTTGCCTGACCTGTGCCCTACTCCCACAGGGCTCCTTACCTTCCAGTTAAGGTAATGAGAAAGTACCTTGCATTTACAGTGTCAGTCTTGTAGAATTACAAAGCAAGGGACGTGTCAGAAATGGCCTATGTGTGATTATTTGAAACAGAGGAACTCACACACCCCCATATTAAAAATAGATCAGGCAGATTGAGGAAAGATTGAATGCAACAAAGATGTGAATATCAAATCATCATCACACATTCTCAGACCAGTTAAAATAGATCAGAGGTGTTCTAAAGAAAAGAAGTGAATTCACAAGGACAGAATTATATGTGTTTCTGAACATAGGAGGCAGATAAATAAATACTCCACAGAGAAGCATTTGAACTTCGAACAAGAGGCGTTAAAAGAAATAACTACAAATGTAAAACAACATCAAAATGTTCTGGAAAGAAGAAAAAAAGCTGGTGACACTAACCTGCAGGCAGGCAAATAGCAAGGAATTAAGAAATAATGAGTTCATGAATCCAAAATCCTTGAGCAAAACCAAGCCAAGAAATGGTTGGTTATGTAACAAAACCAAAAACCTTTTATACTCTTTATTTTTTTGTTATTTGTCAAATTGTTTCAATCTATTCCCTAAACTAACACAAGGTAAGGATGTAAATCACACTCACACACACACATTTATTTGCTTTTTCAGAACATTTCAAAAAGTTCTAACCAAAAGCTGTGACATGAGCACACAACAGGACGGAGACACAACCAAACCAGGAAGTGAAAAAAGCTACATAGCTATTTAAACAAAGGCACCCTGGTTTTAAGAGCTTGCTACTTCTTTAGCAGGCTGAACTAGTTTTTCTTCTTCTTTTTACAATTTCATTAGCCGGATGTGACCAGAGTGCACAGGCGGAGATGAAGAGGAGTTGGATTGAATGTGACATTTGCATGCAACCTTTCAGCTGCAAGAGGAACCCCTGGTGAGCTCAGCAGCTCCCCAGCTGTGA